ACCAGTACCACCTTATACCACGTTAGGGCACGCCTAGCATCGCTTCTTGACATGTCATGCTTCGATATGCATCTGTTTACCTGGTATTCATTGTTTCTTCCCCCTCTTCTCTCCGGTAGACTACGAGACCGACGCTGCTGCTGCCCAGTTCGACTACGGAGTTGACGACCCCTCTCTCTTGCCAGAGCAACCAGGCAAGCCCCCCCCCTTGATCACCAGATATCGCCTATTCTTCTCTATACTGCTTGCATTAGAGTAGTGTAGCATGTTACTGCTTTCCGTTGATCCTATTCTGATGCATAGCCTGACATTGTTGCTACACCTGTTGATACCTTACCTGCAATCCTAAATGCTTAGTATAGGATGCTAGTTTATCATCATTGGCCCTACATTCTTGTCAGTCTGCCTTGCTATACTATCGGGCCGTGATCACCTGGGAGGTGATCACGGGTATATACTATACATACATACATACTATACAGATGGTGACTAAAGTCGGGTCAGCTCATTGAGTACCCGCAAGTGATTCTGACGAGGGGGGGCTGAAAGGACAGGTGGCTCCATCCCGGTAGAGGTGGGCCTGAGTTCCCGACGGCCCCCGACTGTTACTTTGTGGCGGAGCGACAGGGCAGGTTGAGACCACCTAGGAGACAGGTGGGCCTGGCCCTGTTCGGCGTTCGCGGACACTTAACACGCTTAACGAGATCTTGGTATTTGATCTGAGTCTGGCTACGAGCCTATACGCACTAACCATCTACGTGGGAGTAGTTATGGGTATCCCGACGTCGTGGTATCAGCCGAAGCACTTCAGACGTCAGCGACGGAGCGGCGCGCGCCGGATTGGAACGTAAGCCTGCTCTTGTATTAAGGGGGCTAGTTCTGCTTCCGGCCGCCCACGCAACGTGCAGGTGTGCTATGGGCGATGGGCCCAGACCCCTGTGCGCTTAGGTTTAGACCGGCGTGCTGGCCTCTCTGTTGTGCCTAGGTGGGGCTGCGACGTGTTGATCTTCCGAGGCCGGGCATGACCCAGGAAAGTGTGTCCGGCCAAATGGGATCGAGCGTGTTGGGCTATGTGGTGCACCCCTGCAGGGAAGTTTAATCTATTCGAATAGCCGTGATCTTCGGTAACAGGACGACTTGGAGTTGTACCTTGACCTTATGACAACTAGAACCGGATACTTAATAAAACACACCCTTCCAAGTGCCAGATACAACCGGTGGTCGCTCGACCTCAGGGATATGAGGAGGGGATCGCCGGGTAGGATTATGCTATGAGATGTTACTTGGAGATGTTACTTGGAGGACTTCAATCTACTCTCTTATACTTGATGCAAGACGAAGGTGACCAGAAGCGTAGTCTTCGATAAGACTAGCTATCCCCCTCTTATTCTGGCATTCTGCAGTTCAGTCCACTGATATGGCCCTTTACACATATAACCATGCATATGTAGTGTAGCTCCTTGCTTGCGAGTACTTTGGATGAGTACTCACGGTTGCTTTTCTCCCTCTTTTCCCCTTTCCCTTCTACCTGGTTGTCGCAACCAGATGCTGGATTCCAGGAGCCAGACGTCACCGTCGACGACGACCCCTACTACACCGGAGGTGCCTACTACTTCGTGCTGCCCGCTGATGACGACCAGGAGTGACCTAGGAGGATCCCAGGCAGGAGGCCTGCTCCTCTTTCGATCTGTATCCCAGTTTGTGCTAGCCATCTTATGGCACCTTGTTTAACTTATGTCTGTACTCAGATATTGTTGCTTCCGCTGACTCGTCTATGATCGAGCACTTGTATTCGAGCCCTCGAGGCCCCTGGCTTGTATTATGATGCTTGTATGACTTATTTTGTTTGTAGAGTTGTGTTGTGATATCTTCCCGTGAGTCCCTGATCTTGATCGTACACATTTGCGTGCATGATTAGTGTACGATTAAATCGGGGGCGTCACACTCGTCTCGTTCCAGCAAAAGTCGTTGCCGGATATAGCAATCTATATCGCTGGATGTAGCTCCGGAGGCCGGTTCCCGGCACGTGGTCTCCGCGATGTAGCATTTTTACCTCATAGTTGCAGCACGCCCCATAACCCGTTCCAGCACTACCAGTCGCCGGTTGTAGTACCGCGACATGGGTTGTAGCAATGCACGACGCCGGACGCAACACTGCCTCGCCATGGTTGTAGGCTTGTTGAAGGAAATATGCCCTAAAGGCAATAATAAAGTTATTATTTATTTCCTTATTTCATGATAAATGTTTATTATTCATGCTAGAATTGTATTAACCGGAAACATAATACATGTGTGAATATATAAACAAACAGAGTGTCACTAGTATGCTTCTACTTGACTAGCTCGTTAATCAAAGATGATTATGTCTCCTAACCATGAACAAAGAGTTGTTATTTGATTAACGAGGTCACATCATTAGTTGAATGATCTGATTGACATGACACATTCCATTAGCTTAGCACCCGATCGTTTAGTATGTTGCTATTGCTTTCTTCATGACTTATACATGTTCCTATGACTATGAGATTATGCAACTCCCGTTTGCCGGAGGAACACTTTGTGTGCTACCAAACGTCACAACGTAACTGGATGATTATAAAGAAGCTCTACAGGTGTCTCCAAAGGTACATGTTGGGTTGGCGTATTTCGAGATTAAGATTTGTCACTTCGAATGTCGAAGAGGTATCTCTGGGCCCTCTCGGTAATGCACATCACTTAAGCCTTGCAAGCATTGCAACTAATGAGTTAGTTGCAGGATGATGTATTACGGAACGAGTAAAGAGACTTGCCAGTAACGAGATTGAACTAGGTATTGGATACCGACGATCGAATCTCAGGCAAGTAACATACCGATGACAAAGGGAACAACGTATGTTGTTATGCAGTCTGACCGATAAAAGATCTTCGTAGAATATGTAGGAGCCAATATGAGCATCCAGGTTCCGCTATTGGTTATTGACCGGAGACGTGTCTCGGTCATGTCTACATTATTCTCGAACCCGTAGGGTCCGCACGCTTAAGGTTACGATGACAGTTATATTATGAGTTTATACATTTTGATGTACCGAAGGTTGTTCGGAGTCCCGGATGTGATCACGGACATGACGAGGAGTCTCGAAATGGTCGAGACATAAAGATTGATATATTGGAAGCCTATGTTTAGATATCGGAAGTGTTCCGGGTGAAATCGGGATTTTACCGGAGTACCGGGAGGTTACCGGAACCCCCCGGGAGCTATATGGGCCTAAGTGGGCCTTAGTGGAAAACAGAAGGAGCAGCCCAAGATGGGCCGCGCGCCCCTCCCCTCCCTTGGTCCGAATAGGACAAGGAGAGGGGGCCGGCCCCCCTCTCTCTTTTCCCCCCTTCGCGAATCCTATTCCAACTAGGATTGGGGGGAATTCTACTCCTAGAGGGAGTAGGACTCCTCCTGGCGCGCCTCTCCTAGGCCGGCCGCACCCCCCCCCTCCTTGAGCCTTTATATACGGAGGCAGGGGCACCCCAGAGAGACACAAGTTGATCCACGTGATCATATTCTTAGCCGTGTGCGGTGCCCCCCTCCACCATAGTCCTCGATAATATTGTAGCGGTGCTTAGGCGAAGCCCTGCTGCAGTAGTACATCAAGATCGTCACCACGCCGTCGTGCTGACGGAACTCTTCCCCGACACTTTGCTGGATCGGAGTCCGGGGGTCGTCATCGAGCTGAACGTGTGCTAGAACTAGGAGGTGCCGTAGTTTCGGTGCTTGATCGGTCGGGCCGTGGAGACGTACGACTACATCAACCAAACGCTTCCGTTGTCGATCTACGAAGGATACGTAGATCATACTCTCCCCTCTCGTTGCTATGCATCACCATGATCTTGCGTGAGCGTAGGAAATTTTTTGAAATTACTACGAAACCCTACACTTATAGCACGCAAACGCCCATCGCAGGCGACGAGGACGTGGTTGCAGCAACAACGAGCGGTTGCCATCGGCTTGCCGGTCATGGCAAAGAGGAGATTGGGCGAGCGCCCATGACATCTCGTGATGGAGAGAGAGAGAGAAGTAGCTAGGGGAGGAAGAAGAACGGTGGAGGGGGGATAAGGAGCGAACTATACGTGGGTGGGGCCGTGTGACGTGGCACAATAAAGAGCCCTCAATCAAAAGGGAACCGCACGTCCCGCACGCGACTGGCCCAACACTCGGCCGGTCGGTCGGGTACAGACGTGTCCCTTTGTAATTTGAGTGTTAGAACAATCATAGGTTATATCATTTCCCAATTGAAAATTACTCTGATGATGATGTGGTGGTGGTTCCCTCGCTTGTTAGTCCCGCAAAACACAAAATACAAAAACTTTCATACTTTATCATGTAACCAAATATTGATAGCAAACCAATCATATGCTAGAGGTAAACATGGAGCTGCCTGCACACGACTGAGCCAAGGTTGGAGAATCTGCTAGAGTGGTTTTTACACCCTAGCCTCCATATGGCGGTAATTATGGGAGCGGTACGGGTACTTCTGTCGAATCTGCTTGAGTTGTTCTTATACTTCCTCAATTACTGGACTCAATATCTAAGGCATATGGCAGTTTCATTTTGCAAGCTTTTTCTTTTCCAACTGCTACCCCCCTCCTCTCGTGGATAGTATTTCTAGTCAGATGGTGACTAATCATAGTGATGCAGATTAATCAGGTACCAATGATAAATATAAAAATCAGACAAGAAGCACAGATTAAAAACATCAAAAAATATATGACAACAATGTGGTCATTTTCTTTTCTGGCCCGCAAAAAGTACATACACTCAGACACTACACTTTCCATTTATTCTGGGACCCTACAACGGTAACAGAAATTTGTACACCTTGTCGAAAATTTGTACACTCAAAGAATAGAAAACCCAGAAAGAGAACAAAAAAACAGCAGAAAGAATCAACTTAAAAGACATGTTAATTTGCAAACAGTTCTGTATACAGATTTGGAAACCAGTTTGTCAGGTTCCACACCATTGCACGGATCTACCGTCCAGCTGCCTTCAAGAACTTGTCGTACGGGCTTGCAGGTGGCAACCTGAAGGAGCGGTCATCGCTGGATGTCGAATCGTTGCGCCGCATGTAGTCCTTTCTTGTCAAATGTGACTCAGGTTCAGATTGAGCAGATGACTGCAAAATGCAATGAGACGTCAGTCATGATTTCAGAAATATCAAGTTTAAGAAACTGACAAGATGCCTGGATTTAGCTTAAGGTTAAGAACGTCTGACAGGAGGACACGTGCCTCATTTGTTTCCGGTCCGTTTTCCCCGATTGAGCTACGCGAATCGGTTCTTGAGTGCTTGAAGCTCATGAGAACAGACATCTTCTGCTGCTTTTCCATTACTAGGGATTCACATTGGCTCTTCATTTGGTCATAGGACACAGGATTGGTGGAGACTGGAATGTTAGCAACTTGCCTTGCTGTCTCATGGACCTGGCAGCAAGTAGTTCAAGTACAAACAGATGAGGAGGCTGCACGTTTATAAGAGAACAGAGGGGTTTTCAGGTGCCATTGTTTTAGAGATTGATACATACGGATTCCATCAGTTGATTCACGTTTAGAACATCGGATGAAGCCATAGATCCTGATGTTTTCCTGTCAGACTGCGATCCACTATGTTCAAAGACGATGTCATCGTCATCATCCATCTCACAAGGAATAACATCCTGAAGTCAGAAGACATGTAGCCAAAAAGTTAGGAAATAACAGCACTACCAAATCATAATAACTCAGAATCAAGTATTTGTAAACGATCAGTACAGACCTCATCAAAACAGTGATCGTCCTTTTCAGCGTACATTGAACAAGAGTGTGGCGTCTCCATGAATAGTGGAGCACCAAGAGGAAATGAATCATCTAGGGAGAACTCTTGAAGAAGCTGTTCTTCTATCCCATCAAACTTCTGCAATTTGTAAGATTATCAGTTATGTTCTTGATTCTGAACAGCTAGCTAAATCACAGAAATAGAGCGGTCAAGTAAATCTAAATCTACACACCTCTGGTGAATTTTCAAATTTTCTCTTGAAGTGGGATATCACATTGTCTTTTAACTGTGTATCGTCCTTATTTACAGCTGAAAGAAAAACTTGTGCATCACTTTCATCTTCCTCAGAACCGTAAAGCATTTCACTGTTCGAAGATTGTGCAGAAGTAACAGTGAGTCTGCAGTCATCAATCAGGCAAAGATGAGGATCAACCTGCAAAATTAACAAAGCACATTATAGCTCATACTAATTACAGACCTATGTGTGATTGCGGGTAGACCATCCAAATGAAATATTCACATGGTGGATATCAACAAACCATTTCCTCTGGCACTGCGGCTTTGACAAGATGGGTTATCTGAGGAATATCAGCAACTTTTGCTGAAAAAATAAGCATTGCTGATGCCATTGTATACAAACACCTTCTCCGAGATGGTTGCACAACATCTTCATTTACAGTGGAAAAAGAAAAATATGAGATCAAGCCGTGAATTCAACTGCTATACTGTTATAAATATGTTGCATACGAATATGGAGGACATTATCTTTTGTTTTTTAATAGAAAAATAAAAAGGGAACAACTGTTTGGTTTGAGAGGCAATGTTGCAGCAACTTACTATCTTGGTTCAGAGACAACCTCCTGAGAGAAAAGGCCAACTGGAAACATCGAACTAGTGCCACATGACTGGAGGTCTGTCATAAAACTTAACTGGTCAATTAAACAGTACATAACATGATGGTATCTCTGGTTCAATATTCTAAGAATTTAAAGTAAGTTTCATGCTTCCAACATCAATAAAATATACAAAAGTTATATCTTGTAGATAAATTCAAATGGTGTGCAAAATACTGGTTGAAATGACTCGATGGATTCCAACTGTGTGCCGCGATCATTCCAGTGCCTTCAGAACAAATTCAAATGGTGTGCAAAATACTGGTTAAAGTGACTCAATGGATTCCAACTGTGTGATGTGATCATTCCAGCGGTTTCAGAACAAAGCAATAGCCTTATAAATCTGAAATCATTTCAAGGTCATCATAAGTAGCCTCGGACAGGCTATAACCTTACTATCTATCTTGAAGATTCACATATTTTATGTCTCTACACTATGCAGCACTGTGCTCTCTGTGATGGACCAATCCATATTTACCTACTAATCCATTGGATGCTCTCTGTGATGGACCAATCCATATTTACCTACTAATCCATTGGATGCTCTCTGTGATGGACCAATCCATATTTACCTACTAATCCATTGGAATGCATGTTAGTTGTTATGCATTACAAATGAACTAATATAGACCACATTGACCCTGTTTTAGACATGGGAGCACTGTACAATTGGTATTACCGAGGTTTAAAATGAGGATCTCAAAGCGCTAACTGACAACAGCTCTAGAATGTGGTAATAGTCCACAAGGGGGTAGGAACAAATTCCTCTATTTGAGATATGGTCTTCTTCAATAGTGGGTAGCAAGAATATATTGTACGAAGCTCGACTTACTTTTGCTTTCGAACACAATAAAGCAACATTGTAAGTATGGCCCATTGCCTCAAAATTTGAAGGTGAGTTATCTTCGAGGGATGCTTGACTCCAAATAGATGAAAGAAGAAGAACAAGTTGGCCATTGTTCAACTTCATTAACTTTGAGTTCTGCTCACAGATGTAAGGAAAATAAGATGTATCAGTTGTATGGTCAAAAACTCCCAAGGTAAAAAATAGTAAAATACTAATAATACTAGCTGGACTTCATACATCTTTAAAAGTGGAAAGACGATCGTTGAAATATGGGTTCCCTGAAGACTGCCTTGTATTTGGTTCTGTATGTGCATATCCATTCTCAGCACTTACCACAGCTTCTGGTTTCTCGTTTTCCTGCAAGGATTCCTTGATCCTACTTTTAGACTGCAGTTCATCCATTATGGTCTCAGAAGAGAAAGCTGACAATGCCAACAAAAGCACACTCTGCGACCCATTGACCTTCATTGGGACAGGAAAACCTATGGCTGACCATGGGCATAACAACGAAGGCGCGACAATGGTGGATAAAACACGGTGTGAGCCAATCCTTGTCTTATTGTCTGGGTGCATCATTGCTAAGAGAAGCTGGTGATACAAAGCTTCTGGAAATGCCTGAGTCATGTACAAGGAAATGCCAATTAATATTGATGTCCTACTTCTAAATAATTTCTCTACAGTAGTGGAAATATCAAAAACTTACTTTCTGGTTGTATGATGACTTGTACACATAAGCTGCTATTTGTGCTGTGCGGTAAACAGATGACATTGTTGTCCTGGCGATGTTGGCAGTGTACGAGAGATTCTCAAGCATTACACTGACCATGTCAAGAATAGGACCAACATCCCCAACCTAATCAGCACAACAAAAAACTTTTCTTACAGATTTATACGCTAAAGCAGGAAAATAGTTATGTAATGAAGTGCCGAAAGATTACAACAACCTTCTCTGTCAATTGCACCAGACACTCCTCCAAGGCCACATAAAGTTCACTGTTCCACTTGTCAATATCAGCTTGAGCATTTGATGCTTCAACAGCACGGTACATACATTTTCGCAAGTGTTTTACTAAATCGCTGATTGCACTCGCTATTGTTACCGATGCATGCGACTTTGCCTGCTTCGCAAGATGAGAAGCAACTTTTACAATGCTTATTTGCTTGGCGGGCATCTTGGCAACACTTTTATGATCAATGTGCTTTATAGTAAAAGATAGCAGCAAATGGCCATTTTGCCCTGCAATTATAAAAACAAGATTCAACGGAGTATTCAATCTCTCTCAATGCTTCCAACTGAAAAGCAACACTGAAAGGGAAAAACAAGCGAAGAAATTACATGGGAGAAAATTGCTGCACCTGATTTGTCCATCAGTGTTTGCATTTCTTGTAGAACAGAAAGGGAAACCCCACTTTCAGGAGACCAGTAATTGTGGCTATCGAAAAGGCGAAACAGAGGATCAAGAATACGCCGCACTGTTGTTGCCTCCTTTGCAATATTGGCCATGTTACGCAAGCAAACCCTTGCCCAGTGTGCTGGATTCTCAGATGCAGCCCTGCTAACACATAAAATTATTAAAGAGATAAAAAAATGCGCATTACTATCTAAAAATGTTAATGAGCAGAAGATCTCACATTGTATCAGCTGCCACTTTGGCATTATTTTGCCCAGATACTGCCAACATTGTCAAATCATCATCATCTTGAAATCTGACGACCTCTTTTATTGAGAGAGTTTGATTAGCCTCATAACAGCTTATTATCACTGAGACAACCTGGGTTCAAGAATGAATTGGAAATTAATTAGATAGCCAGTCTGAGATGCTATTTGAGCTGAAACATCTATGTTAACATTTTGCTTCATGAATGGTTGTTTCTGGTTCACTTCGAATTAAAATTAGTGTACTCTTACTGTATTAAGTATGGTAGACATGCTATTTCGGAATTCGCTGAACTTTGATTATAATTATATCTCTTTCCACTAATCGATGATCCTATTTCTACAATTCTACTACATAAGGAATCCATACAGGAAATAAAAATAACAAAGAAAGTATCCAGCGTGCATAAAATAAAAGGCAATAAGGACTTACTTCATCAAGTTCCATTGAGATATGCGAGTGGTCACCCATGTATTCGACCTGATTACAGGTGGTCAAACAGTCAAAATGCAATAGAAAATATATTTTCTACACTTAATCACTTCTACTCCTGTGATATTACTTCCTGGGAAGAATCAGTAATGCAGAGAAAGTAAAGGTTACAAGTGGTCGAACAGTCAGACTGTGATATAAAATAAATTTTCCCAGTTTAATCACTCCTACTCCTATGACCGTACTTGCTGGGAAGGACCGGTAATGCAGAAACATAAGCATGAATTATTATTTTATCTTTACATTTTGTTACAAAGTACAGTACTACTATGACAGAACATAGCATTGCACGATATCAGCACGATGCACAAAAATTGTATTTGTTCCACCGAAAGTGAAAGATGGATATAGAGCCTATATAATAATGTCTCGTTATCTGTTGAAAACCTTGAAAACATATAGTTGAGGTACAAAAGTTCATATTTATGAAGCATGTGAAATTGTATAATACTCCCTCCGTCCGAAAATACTTGTCATCAAAATGGATAAAAAGAGATGTATCTAGAACTAAAATACGTCTAGATACATCCCCTTTTATCCATTTTGATGACAAGTATTTCCGGACGGAGGGAGTAGATGCAAATGGTAATTAGTTCATTTGTTCGACATGATTATTCCTGGTTTAACACAATTGTAAAATATAAGCCTTGACTGGCAAACATACGACAGTCTTGCCTTTCTCATCAGAACAATTAAGCAATAGATTGTCTTACCATTGAAGCAAGAGCTTGGAGTGCAGCAGATCGAAGGCGGATCCCTTTGTCATCTTCCCTTAGTTCTTGAGCAATTTTGCATAGTTTTGGTATCATGCCTTCTAAACTGAACATATGCGTGCTGTCAACCTATATAAACATTCAATTTAAAAATAAGCAGATGGCAAGTACCTAGAAAATAAATTAAATCTAAGTTGGTACGTGTTACGTTAATAACCTGTCCATCGAGAAAGTCAACAAGCAATAGACAGCCCAGGATCTGCAAATCATCACTTGATTTCTGATCTAGAAGAGTGCGAACAATACACAATGTGCTTGTGGCCAGCAATGGTCTGAATAAGAAACCGGTCTGTTAGCCAAGATTAGTCACAAATGCGTCAATGAATAAACAATATTTGCACTTACGTATGCTCCTTGCATGAACGCAGAAGTTTCCTATATATGCATGGAACAACTTTGGCCAGGGTGAAATTATCATGTCTCAGTTCTTTATAGCATCTCTGCTCAAGATACTCTGTGATCTGTTCAGGAAAATAAGAGTAAAATTAATTCCGCTTTTACGAAGTCTGCCATTCATTCAGTTCCATCTTCAAAACATAGCTATAAAATCCTTAACAGGCAACTAGCTAAGCATCATTTCAATGTGTAGTGATCCAGTGACAATTATTAGAGGCCACACGATATAGTAAGAAAAGCAGGGAGGATGCCGAATGTGTTACCTTTGGTATGCGGGTTGGATTTCTCGAGACGTAATCGCAGAGTTTCCCGATCCTTCTGTCATTCGGTTCTCCATCCTGAGGCAGCATTGCAAAGTTCAATTAGCAAACTCCCACACATTTGAATGCAACACACCCATCATGCAGAACCACACTACCATGACTAGAAAATTGGAATGCTAGCAGGCAGGGATTGGCCATACCGCGGGCAGCTGGTAGATCTCCGAGATGATCTTCTTGTAGCGCTTGACGGGCTGCCGTGACCTCGCCCGCAGCGAGGGGCAGAAGTAGCAGAGGCTGCTGCACGCCGGCAGCACCCGCCGCGACATGATCCCCATCCTTCTCCTCCTCCCTCAGAAGGCCCCCGAAGCTTTTTGATCCAAATGTGGTGAGACGGCACAACTGCAACTCCAACTGTCCGCCCTCTTTGCTACGACGGCAGTTCCAAGAACTGGACTCCCTTGGACCTTGATCAGACTGGGCTGAAGCAACGCGAATTGGTTGTGGCAGGGAGGACTAGAGTAGAGTAGAGGACCTCCTCGCCTTCCTCACGTTCGGGTAGCCAGTCGGAGTCCCCTGACCCGGCTGAGATCAAGAAACGGCAAGAATTCCCCTCGCGTCAGAGTCGCCTCTGACCAAATCTAATCCAGGCCGGTGCTGGGACTTTTAAAAGGCAGCGAATTCCCCGGGTCAAATCCGGCAAAGAACGCAGCGTTGCCCTCTGGCGAACTCCGAGCCGCGGCGCGACGGCGCCAAGAACAGCCGCCGACGCCCGGCTGAATCCAGCCCCTGCCAAAGATCAACTCTTTTTCCTCAGAACCAGCGTCCTGCGCAACTCAGATCGCGGCCAGACGCAAATGAGGCAAGGAGCGAACCCGGAGGAGACGAGTGGGGCACCAAAGAGAGGAACCGACGACGGATCCACCCACCTGAAAGGGAAAGGGGGGAGCGGCGAATCCGGTGGCCGGCGGGCGGCGGCTGCGTGGCGTGCGGGCGGGCAGGTGGGTGGGGGTAGCTGGAGGCGACAACGGGGCAACGGTCGCCTCGGCGGCTCCTTGTCGCCTTCGCCGCAGCCGCTGGGAGGATGGGGAGGGGGAGGGGTTGGAGGAGGACTAGTAAAATGCGGGCAGCTGGAGGTGCGGCGGAACATTCATAGCGGCGGCACGGGCACAGCTCTGGGCAAGCGCGTTGCGGTTTCTCCACCGTGCGTGCGAACGGGGGAATTCTTCGAGGGGCTTTTCGGCAAAAGAAAAGAAAAAGAAGGCGGCTGCTCGTTGCCCTGTTCTGGAATCTGACAGGTGGGCACGTTGCGCGAGGCGCCGTTTGGGTCCTGCGCTGCCGGCAGGCCTTGCCTGGCCAGCGGAAGTTACGAATCCGCCCCCCGCCGGCTTGATTTTTGTACTCCCTCCTTCCATCTATATAGGGCCTAATGCGTTTTTGAGGCTAACTTTGACCAAATGTTAGAGCAATAATATATGACATGCAACTTATACAAAGCACATCATCAAATTCGTATGTGAAAGGAGCTTTCAATGATATAATTTTCACATTATGCATGTCATGTAGTATTAATTTTATCAATAGTCAAAGGTGGTCTTGAAAAACGCATTAGGCCCTATATAGATGGAAAGAGGGAGTATTTTTTTGGTTGACATTGATGTTGGGCCCGACGTGGCTAGGGCACTGCCATGTATCTTTTGCTTTAAGAAAAATTTAGCGGGTTTGCTATTCTTCGCCGGCTGAAAATTTCGGCGTCTTCGGTCAATTCCACGCGGCCTCGAGGGTGAGAGGGGACGTCGTCGCTGACAGTGGCGGCGATGAACGAGACTGAGCCAGGAGCAAGCGAGTAGGCAGCACGGCGTTGACGGCGGGAGTGAACCCAGGGTTTAGCGGGTTCTGGTGTGATGTGGTCTGATGGCTCGGAAAAGTTTCTTTCTAAAATTGTTCTACCATTTGTTTCTAATTTACTATTTACAGCATGCCTATGTTGTCTCAACATAGCCGGTCCCAAGTCCGGGTAAAGGAGGAGGGTTGTGATAGGCTTGGCGAGCCAACGTAAAAACTCAGCCACTCTTATGGAGATGAAACCCAAAAGATTTTCGTTGGGGCGTAACCCTCTCAGCGACGCGCCACATCGGAACCCGGGTGTGGTGGAAAATGGGCAAGGGCCGGGCCGTCACCCCCCAAGTGGCGCGCCGTATCTTGATCCGGATACGCTGGCAAGTGAGCGAGGATCGGGTCGTCGCATTCTTAGTGGCGCGCTACATCGGCGCCCGGATGTAGTGGAAAATGAGCAAGGGTCTTCGCATTTGACTCGACGAGTGCGAAGGGTAAGGAAGCTAGCCGAGCCTAGGAGGATTCGCTTAGGTAGCTGGAACATAGGGTCTCTGACAGGGAAGCTTCGGGAGCTAGTTGATGCAGCAGTGAGGAGAGGTGTTGATATCCTTTGCGTCCAAGAAACCAAATGGAGAGGACAGAAGGCGAAGGAGGTGGAGGATACCGGCTTCAAGCTGTGGTACACGGGGACGGCTGCAAACAGAAATGGCGTAGGCATCTTGATCAACAAGAGCCTCAAGTATGAAGTAGTAGACGTCAGGAGACGTGGGGACCGGATTATCCTGGTCAAGCTGGTAGCTGAGGACTTGGTTCTCAATGTTATCAGCGCATATGCCCCGCAAGTAGGCCACAATGAGAACACCAAGAGGGAGTTCTGGGAAGGCTTGGAAGACATGGTTAGGAGTGTACCGATTGGTGAGAAGCTCTTCATAGGAGGAGACCTCAATGGCCACGTGGGTACATCTAACACAGGTTTTGAAGGGGCGCATGGGGGCTTTGGCTATGGCATCAGGAATCAAGAAGGAGAAGATGTCTTAAGCTTTGCTCTAGCCTACAACATGATTGTAGCTAACACCCTCTTTAGAAAGAGAGAATCACATCTGGTGACTTTTAGTAGTGGCCAACACTCTAGCCAGATTGATTTCATCCTCTCGAGAAGAGAAGATAGGCGTGCGTGCCTAGACTGTAAGGTGATACCTGGGGAGAGTGTTGTACCCCAGCATAAGCTGGTGGTTGCTGACTTCCGCTTTCGGATTCGTGTCCAGCGGGATAAGTGTGCCAAGGTCGCTAGAACGAAGTGGTGGAAGCTCAAGGGGGAGGTAGCTCAGGTGTTCAAGGAGAGGGTATTTAAGGAGGGCCCTTGGGAGGAAGGAGGGGATGCGGACAATGTGTGGATGAAGATGGCGACTTGCATTCGTAAGGTGGCCTCAGAGGAGTTTGGAGTGTCCAGGGGAAGGAGAAGCGAAGATAAGGATACCTGGTGGTGGAATGATGATGTCCAGAAGGCGCTTAAAGAGAAGAAAGATTGCTTCAGACGCCTATACCTGGATAGGAGTGCAGACAACATAGAGAAGTACAAGATGGCGAAGAAGGCCGCAAAGCGAGCTGTTGGTGAAGCAAGGGGTCGGGCATATGAGGACCTCTACCAACGGTTATGCACGAAGGAAGGTGAAAGGGACATCTATAAGATGGCTAAGATCCAGGAGAGGAAGACGAGGGATATTGGCCAAGTCAAATGCATCAAGGACGGAGCAGGCCATCTCTTGGTGAAGGACGAAGAGATTAAGCATAGATGGCGGGAGTACTTCGACAAGCTGTTCAATGGGGAGAATGAGAGTTCTACCATTGAACTGAATGACTCCTTTGATGAGACCAGCATGCGTTTTGTGCGGCGCATCCAGGAGTCTGAGGTGAAGGAGGCTTTAAAAAGGATGAAAGGAGACAAGGCGATGGGCCCTGATTGTATCCCCATTGAGGTGTGGAAAGGTCTCGGGGACATAGCGATAGTATGGCTAACCAAGCTTTTCAACCTCATTTTTCAGGCAAACAAGATGCCAGAAGAATGGAGATGGAGTATATTAGTACCAATCTTCAAGAACAAGGGGGATGTTCAGAGTTGTACTAATTACCGTGGAATTAAGCTGATGAGCCATACAATGAAGCTATGGGAGAGAGTCATTGAGCACCGCTTAAGAAGAATGACAAGCGTGACCAAAAATCAGTTTGGTTTCATGCCTGGGAGGTCGACCATGGAAGCCATTTTCTTGGTACGACAACTTATGGAGAGATATAGGGAGCATAAGAAGGACTTGCATATGGTGTTCATTGACTTGGAGAAGGCCTATGATAAGATACCGTGGAATGTCATGTGGTGGGCCTTGGAGAAACACAAAGTCCCAGCAAAGTACATTACCCTCATCAAGGACATGTACAATAATGTTGTGACAAGTGTTCGAACAAGTGATGTCGACACCGATGACTTCCCGATTAAGATAGGACTGCATCAGGGGTCAGCTTTGAGCCCTTATCTTTTTGCATTGGTGATGGATGAGGTCACAAGGGGTATACAAGGAGATATCCCATGGTGTATGCTCTTTGCGGATGATGTGGTGCTAGTTGACGATAGTCGGACGGGGGTAAATAGGAAGTTAGAGTTATGGAGACAAACCTTGGAATCGAAAGGGTTTAGGCTTAGTAGAACTAAAACCGAGTACATGATGTGCGGTTTCAGTACTACTAGCTGTGAGGAGGAGGAGGTTAGCCTTGATGGCCAGGTGGTACCTCGGAAGGACACCTTTCGGTATTTGGGGTCAATGTTGCAGGAGGATGGGGGTATTGATGAAGATGTGAACCATCGAATCAAAGTCGGATGGATGAAGTGGCGCCAAGCTTCTGGTATTCTCTATGACAAGAGAGTGCCACAAAAGCTAAAAGGCAAGTTCTACAGGACGGCGGTTCGACCCGCAATGTTGTATGGCGCGGAGTGTTGACCGACTAAAAGGCGACATGTTCAACAGTTAGGTGTGGCGAAGATGCGTATGTTGAGATGGATGTGTGGCCACACGAGGAAGGATCGAGTCCGGAATGATGATATACGAGATAGAGTTGGGGTAGCACCAATTGAGGAGAAGCTTGTCCAACATCGTTTGAGATGGTTTGGGCATATTCAGCGTAGGCCTCCAGAAGCTCCAGTGCATAGCGGACGGCTAAAGCGTGCGGAGAATGTCAAGAGAGGGCAGGGTCGACCGATTTTGACATGGTAGGAGTCCGTTAAGAGAGACCTGAAGGATTGGAGTATCGACAAAGAGCTAGCTATGGACAGGGGTGCGTGGAAGCTTGCTATCCATGTGCCAGAGCCATGAGTTGGTTGCGAGATCTTATGGGTTTCACCTCTAGTCTACCCCAACTTGTTTGGGACTAAAGACTTTGTTGTTGTTTTGTTGTTGTTGTTGTTGTTGTTGTTGTAAAATTGTTCTACCATTTGTTTCTAATTTACTATTTA